AAAAAACTGTAACTAAAAGTATATTTGACATTACAAGAAACAATATAAAAAAATACTGAATTTGAAGAGTCGAAACCCAAACAAACAAAATATTAAAAAAAAAAAACTTCCTGCGACAGCAAATACAGCATCAACAACACCAACTGTAAAACAAACAGTCAAGACATTTTACTTTCAACCTTTTTTTAAAGTAAATAAAAAAATACATAGCTACCTCTGATATTTGAGGGAAAAAAAACAAAAATATCAGAGTGCGCATTTCATGAAGGCACATCATAATCACATACAATAGAATTTAAGTTCCTTGTGAAGATTTAAACTTCTGCCAGTTCCAATGTTAAGGGTAAAAAAAAGTGAAGACCTGATATTGAACAAATGTATCGAGAGCTACCCATAAAAAAAAAAATTAAAAATTGATAAAAATCAAAACATGATGTGACCAAGGAAAAAAAAGTGCACTGCAATTTTACACTTAAAAGACAAGTACATGCTCCTTATGTCAAGTTTTACCTTGCTTTTAGAAAAAATGTACAAAATTAGGACACTAAAAAAAGTATTTTTTCCAATCTCAAATGTAGAAAAAAGTACATTTTCAGTATAAACTTTGCATAGTGGAGATATTACAAGAATATGGTTTCTGGAGCATAAAAAAACTTTAATTGTGACTCACGCCTGAGGTAATTAGGTGCATAGGTCAAAAAAAGTGAGTATGCAGCCTCCCTCTGAGTAACTGGATCATACACTATAACATTGTACACAACACCCTGACCAACTTGGTGGGTATCAAATTTTACCAAAAAAAAATTTGGTGCTTTCAGAGAGGCAGTCTATAAAAGAGGTAACAAGAAAAAAACACACCGGATGTTTTTACTGATTGTCTCTTTATAAATAGAGAAAAAAAAACACTTTTCATTGGTTCAGAGCTGACAGTGTTGCTGGAATAATGAAGTAGCTGCGTGGCTTCGCTCTGATAAAAAACATCTTTCAAATGAGGAGAAAAAAAGTAACTGGTTAGGCCACCAATGGGTTAAGAACACCAACTCCTTAAAAAAAATAGTTTTGCCACAGTCATCTTTAATTGAAAGACCTCTAGTTGAAAAAAAGAATGCCAGTTGTTTTGCCAACATATCATTTTGTCAACAACCAAAAAAAAAACATATGATGACAATTTGCCAATGTCTAAAGTCAGTTCAACAAAAAAAATATATGTCAGTTCACCAGCATCCAAAAGAAAGCTTTTAGTTGAAAATAAATGTCATATGGACAACTTGGAATTATTCACTCAAATGATTTGGATTGTTGTTGTTACTTCTTCCCTGACTGTGCCACAAACTGCCACATTTGTTGTTGAACCTTCAAATTTGCCCCAATCCCCCCTCAAATTCAATTAAGTTATAAAAAAATTGATCATTTTCTTTTAAAACTTGGTGGCTCCTAAGAAAGTTGAAAAAAATTGTGGTTTTTGTTGTGTTCTTCAGTTCCCACGAGCAGGGCTACTTAGATGGAACAGATTCTCAGCAGCTGTGTGGTAGCCTTTGCTTTCCTCTTGTACTTCTCCCAGCTGTCAGATGGCATTGCCTGCAGGTTTCTGTACTGCTTCCACTGGACTTGCTTCAGTTTCCTGTCCAAGAGTCTTTTGGACAGGAATTGGTAACAATTGAAATTTTTTCAAACACAATCTGTCATCAATCAATCTACAGACTTTGTTTAGGCATGACTGTTTTGTTAAGTGTAGGGAGAGAGAGAAAAAAAAGAGTGGAATGAGTAATTTCAAAGAATACTAACCTATGAACACTAAAAAAAACCCTTAAATACAACAAAGGAAAAATTTTAAACATCTGATCATTTGCAAATAAAATTCAGACTTTTTTCAAAAATTATTTTGGACATTGGGGAAAAAAAATAAAGGCATTGGCAAACTGATCCAGGATGTTGGTGAGCCGATTTCATAAGCAGGCAAACTGATCATTGACCAATTGACATACTGGCAAAACGAAAAAAAATTGTGTGCAATTTGTTGATGAACACTTCTATTCAAGCTGCAAAGAGATGACACTTACAGTAAGCTACCAGTAAAGGCAGCAAACACTAGTGGAAAAAAAACATTTAGTTTCAAATAAGCCAGCTGGTCAATCTTTGATGTCAATATAAACATGTTACACATAAATTATAAAGAAAGGAATCTGACTTTTCTTCCATTAGTTTTGATAACAGCTGGATAAGCCATTTTTTCCAGTCCCTTAAAGAATGTTTCCTCTGATGTATCCCCTTCTTCAAGAAACATAAGATAGACATGAAAAAAAAATCGATAATGCTCAGGTGACTTCCCTGGATGCTTGTTCCCATAAAAAAATACAGAACTAGAATTCTCCGACCTGTGGAAAAAGAAACACATGAAAAAAAGTGATAGATTATCAGTTGAAAGTGTCTATTAATAAGGCTCAAACATAGTATAATAGTAACTACCATAAAAACCCG